GACAAATTTGGATAAATGGCTAAATTGTAAGGGATTCAAAGTTTGGGGACTAAAATGTAAATACTTAAAAGTTGTGCCGAATCTCACGATGAAGATTTGAGAGTGCTCGGAGTCAATTGGATAAATGAAGATATCAATGGAATCAAATTTAATCAAAAGATGATTACAAATCAATTTTCAATTGAAAAGTTATGCTATGAAATTTTAGTCTTATATTGAGACCTGTTTTTGGCATAGAAAGTGATCGAATTGGAGAATGATGTCTGAATCAAAGTTGTAGCCAAATGAATTAGCTTTCCAACGCATTTTGAATCGCCTCAATCGGATATCGAAATACAAAGTTATGATAAAAACACTGAAAGAAGGTGCAACTGATTGTTTAAAATAAGAAATTCTATTACATAATCCGTTAAAACAACAAATTCCGTTAATTTTTCCGTTAAAAACAAGAAATTCCGTTATATAGCCACTTTTAATATATAGAAGATATATATATTAATTAATTTATTTTAAAGTCCAAAATCCATGAGTATTTATGAAATACTTAAGATATTAAGGAGTGCATTCAATTGGAACTTTTAAAAAGTTTAATGGACTTTTTTTTTTTAAAGTGATAATTTCTGTGGATTTCATGAATTTTTTATAGACTCGTATGGAATTAGTGGAAGTCTATCGTAGACTTTATAAACTTTTATTTTAAAACTTTCATAGACTTTCATAGAATTCAAAAGACTTTTGAAAATTTCCATTTGAAATAGAATTCACATGAATCTATTGTAATAGTTTGAAATTCTCACAAACGAGGTGGTGATTCTCACAATTCATCCTCTCCTTTTCCTCCCCCTCTAATAAAAAAAAAACATTTTAAAAAGAATAAGAATCTGAGACCTTAATCAAAAAATAAATTTAATATTCAGTATTATTAATATAACAAACATTTAAAGAATAAATTAAAAATCAATATTAAAAATTTAATTATTAATTAATCTATACAACATTTTTTAATTTAATTAAAAATAGATATTTTTCAGAAAAAATGAATGAAAAAAGAAAAAAAGTTATAAGAATCGAGAGAAAGAAAAAGAAGAAACAAATATAATCAGTAGAAAAAACAATAATTTTTAATCATAATTTCAATGTTTGTAAAAGGAAAAAGGAAAGAAAAATATTGAAAGAAAAAATACATATTATTTTTGTGTCTGTGAAACTCAAAAAGTTTTGGAATTAACAAGGGACAAATTTTGAAATTCTATTTTATTACTTTCTACTTGAAAGCTAGTACCCCTAAAGATTTTTATAAGTCATTAAAATTTATACTCCAAAATTTATAGAGACTTCCAAAATTTAATTGTATACATCAAAGTCTATAAAAATTTCAATTGAATACACCATTACTTTTAGAGAGTCTAAAAAAATTTACATTCACCCATAAACTTTTTAAATCCAAAAAAATCATTAAAAATCTCAATTAAATACACCTCATAAAATCTTTGATATAAAAAGCTAACTCAAATTTTATGAAATCTGTTAATTTATATTAAAACCAAGAAATTTAAGATAATTATAAATGTTATAAATATGTTAAAATCCGAGTCGAAGACACTTATTTACGTTGATCATGAATGTACATGTAATTTTATTTTTTTAAAAAACTTTCAAAATCGTTGAGCAGACTGTTTTAAAAATTACTATTGAAAACATCTAAAATCAAATCCCTCTAAAAAAGTGTGCAACGGATACCCAAAACTCCAATTAGCTGTATTTTCAGTTAAAAAAAAAGAAGACATTTTAACATCAACTTAGACGAAAATCGTATAGAAAAATGCTATTCATTCCCAGTGAGGATGTATCCCCAATCTATGTGGATGTAAATGATTGGTTAAATAATAGGTGAAATTAAATGATGTTACACAGACTGAAAATACATCCACAGTGGGGATGAATAACATTTCTCAATTGGAAGTATATTCGTCAAACTGAGTTGAAACATTGAAGACTCCAATACTCAGATACCAAGATGGTAGAAGAGTAAAAGATTGGGATCTATCTTGCAATATTTTCTGTGTTTTCCCCTAACTTGTATTGACTACCCTTTTGGGTACATGATCGCCGAATAGATCCGTCGATAATTTAGATTAACTTCAGGGGATAGTTTGCAGTGCAATTGATATAGGTCGACAGAGATATGGGCGGAGATGTGGTGAAGATGGTGGCAGTTGGCCTCGTTTGGGGGGCGACAAATGCCCTGATGCGTAAAGGCGCCATTTTATGGGATCAAGCACAGAAATCTACTCTGCAACGTAACAGGTCCCAGGGCCAGCACCCAGTTCTAAGTACCCTTAAGAAATGGCTCAAACTTCTATTGATTTGGCAGTACACTTTGCCTTTTCTAATAAATCTCTCAGCTTCAGTCACTTTCTTTGCAATTTTGAGTGATACTCCCATTTCTTTAGCTGTCCCCGTGACAAATGCCACCACATTTGCTGCCACTGCAGTATTCGGGATTATTCTTGGAGAGGAGACGCTTATATTTCGGGCACTGTTTGGTACTTTTCTTATTGTTCTTGGTGTCTATATTTGTAGCATGTGAACATATTTTGAAGAAATAAGTGTAGATTACTGTAACTTTCTTGGATTTGGAGTGATGAATCAATGCTTGTGTTCTGGTTTATGAAAAAGAGTTTATTTTGTTTTGTTCTTTTTTATAGAAATTCTCCTTTTTGTTTCTATGAATACTGGGATGAGGAACTTTTGCCCCCAAGATTATAATTTCCTTCATGTTCTGTTATAATTTCTCTAATGTTCTGTTTGTTATATGATTAACCATTCTTTTGTTTTTTGTTCTATTTTTACGTTCTGAATGAAGAATGCTGTTGAACTTGTTCAGTTTTTTGGTCACTTGCTGCTTAATTCCTTACTTGTTCTGGATTTATTTGCTGCGCACGATCTGTGGGTACCATATGCTTTATGATTGTGCAAGATCATTCTTTTTTTTGTTGATAGCCTCGAGATATGGAGCTTATAGAATCACTGGGAATGGAATTTTGTGCAATTTCATTTTAGCGTCTCGCGGAGTATATAGTTAATAATAGAAGACTGCAAGAAACTTTGTGTCTATACCCCTTTATCTAGTGCTTTCTTTATGGGTGCTGGTGTTCTTAATTCTGTATTCTCAGTATTTTATTGGTTGTTTATTTTGTAGTTTATGCATGGAGCCATGTTGGTTTTTATTTTGTACACTATCAAGTTCACAAAAAGTTAAAAGAATAAAACATGATTATAATTTTGTGTTTAGTAACAGAGCTGTTGTGTTTGTAACTAAGTTTTATAAGACATGGAGGAGAATGAGTTATAATTCAGTGAAAAAACTTTTCTTGAACGGGGAATAGATGATGTTCTGCCTTTGTAATTAAACTATCAATATTATAGGAATCCAGGTGCTACTACTTGTTACATAAAAGTGCACGGGAGATAAACTCAAAACTGACTTTGGGCGGTCATTAAATTGCCATACTTTACATGTCTTCTATTTAATTATGAGAAAGTTTATTAAAATAAACAATTAGATGCTTATTTAGTTTGAATTACTCGTGCTTCATTTTATTCGGCAAATGTGAACCTCTTTGTTTTAAAGTTGAAAATTAGCTTTTGAAATTATTTGTCAGCACTGTGTGTTTTGGCTAAGAAAGTGTTCTACAAAATAAATGATGAGATGTAGTTGTTCTTAAGTAAGTGTGTGGTTTTTGTGCTTCATAGGTGAAAGATTTTGAGTGAGATGGCTCATATTCTATGTTATTGTTTAGTACTTTCTGTTAAGGTGCCGGGAACACAAAAAATTAATTTTTTGGTAGTTACCTATTAATTGGTGTGTTTATCCATAGGGGGATTGTTCGGGATTTCTTTCTTCTTCTTTTGCAGCCTCTTGTACTTCCTCCTCACAATTGCAGCACTATAACTATTTCTCCCGTCATGAAATTAATATATTATAAAGACTATCCCTTCCAACACGTAAAGAAACATTATTGTTTCCTAGAATTTCTTGTTCACGCTCTGTTAAACTGCAGATCAGAAGATGAATTTTTTCTCTCCTGTATCAGTTAATGGTACAACTCTTCTAACCCAATGCACTACCCGATCTTTAGCCGCATTCTGTAAATCCAACGTATAAATTTGGTCGACTTTCTATTATAAATAAGATTCTTATGCATGCTTTTCACTCATTTTTTTACCAGGGCCAGAGCATCTTTTAGTTTATTCTAGTTTCTCTTCTGTATGTCTATTGAATCATGGTGATAAAAGAAGAACAATTCAATAGAACTCCCATTGAAATTTGATGTTTCAAAAGAGCATAAAAATTGACATTGGTGAGGAAGACACATCGATGAAGGGTGACATATTAACAATACATTCAGATTTATATGAAGATGGCTGTGTAGACTTGTTTGTTGATTAGTTGAATTTAAAAAGTAATGGCGATCTATTCTGCTGGAGTTAAAAAACCAAAATGAATTGTACATGTATGGTGGATTAATGAGCTCAGAAATTTTGGAGAAATGGTATGGATAAGAAAGTGGGAAGAGGTGAAGCAAGTCATCATGCAACTTTCATTCTTCCAGTTGCAACCAACCATTTTTTAGTTCATAAATTCTGGGCAATAGAATATGATGTCAAATAGTGCATAAGTTCATTCTATAACCTTTGTACTCGTGATTTTCAGTGGAATGTAAAACTTACTATTCCAATGTGTAGAAATAGGTTAAACCCATGATATGCCTCTTGAAATTTTTTTTTTTTTAGACAAATTGAATATTTTTAGTTATGCTTAATACATTAAGTGATGCTATTCAAGTGGGTTTCCAAATACTGGAAGATTTGACCATTTAAACGTGCTTGAAGAATTTAATGCAGAATAACCGTCTATAGGGTGCAGATTCTAGCAATCAAGGGAGTGAATTTTGGATACCTTCACTGATAAGAAAGCATTATTCATTGTTTTCAAAAGAAAATGAAAAAGAGTATCGGAGAAGTAGTGTTTTGATAAGAATATTGGCAGTCCGGTTCAATTTAGGTGGGCCAATGCCAGTGAAGGATTCCAGCCAAAGGCAGGAATTGTAAAACAGGGGGCAAACGAATACCTACTATAGTCGTGTTCGATGTAATGGGAAATTATGCTCATTGATTACTGATATGATGTTGCTGCAATATTGTTTCTGCAGATATTATGCGTGTACTTGTTCTATTGGTGGATTTATTGAAAATGTACAGCACAATTTGTTTCCTATGGAAGCCTTTAGTATCATATTATATTGATCACAACTTTGTGACAAGGTGGAAGAATGTATAGTTACAGCTGCAGATATTCCTTCAAACTTAGCAATCTTATGATTAAGCTTATTCCTGAGAAGGATTCAACACTACTGTAGCTTTGTCACTTGCAAGTCCTTCCCCTGTCTCTTGGAGCAGTCTGTCTTGACGGTTTGAATTTTTCTAGGGGAGAATTGATGCTGTAATCTTAATTGGTTAATCTAACATGAGATATGAAAGCTGACACGGAAGATGACCATGAAAAGTCCAACTTGCAGCATATATGGCTCTAGTTTAAAAAGTTTTAATAAGTAAATAATTAAGTTTTAGAAGAAATTAATTGTATTTATTGGTCAAAATTAGTTGTGTGCTTTCTATTCCACAGATATACGCCTGATAGCCGAACCAGGAAATCTTAGCGTTATTCTCAAGTTTTGCTCTGCATTACTGATTTCTTAGGATTTGGGGGTTAACATAAACCATACTTCAAAAGAAAAAGATAATGAATGCTAATGGATGAACCAGTGAAGATAATATCTGTAATGGATATATTGTCTGTGAAACTGTTAATGCAGTTTGTGTACAACAGATTTAATCTGGACAAAACTAAGGATTCATAGGAATGGAAGTTTTTTACTTGATGTGCACCCACATTCCTTGGCTTGGCACTCCACGATGAACAACAAAGAGAAGATAGTAGCCGGGAGGAGCAAGCTTCCCTGATGGGGGTGCAACCACAGTAATAAATCTTTTTGTCACTTGCTTGAGCCCCAAAATAAGCAATCTTTGGTTCTGGGAGTACCCATGGGTTGTGAATGGTGGTGAGTACATAGTCACCTTAATATCAGACTGATCAATTTGTGCATATAATCTGATCTGCACTATGAATTCACGTCTGTACTTGAGATTTTTGTCTGAAAGGACCTCTAGTATCTGTGGTCTATATTGCTGAAGCTCAGGAGCCAGATATGGTGGTGAGAATTTCTCGACGGTCAATTCAGTAGGATAAATCATTTCGGGATTGTCTATTTTGTTGAATTTATAGTATTCATTGGTGTTGCTTCCGGCTATAAGGATTTGTCCATCAGGTAAAACTGCAGAAATTGAATGGTACATACGAGGTATGTTTGTTGGTGTTAATTCCTTGAATCTTTTACCCTTATTTTTGTTGGGACTATAGAGTACAGGTGTGAGATTCGGAGTTTCTGCAGCATCCCATGCTGCTGTACCTGCCTTTGCACCGTTGGTTATGAGTACATCTCCAGTTGGAAGAAGCAGCAAGTCCCCCATGGTTCGTGGTGATGGCATATCTTCTTTCTCCCACTGAGCTCCTTGTTTAGAAAGGCTTAGCCTTCCACAGTCTTTAAATGCAGGGAAGAATTTTCTTGGCGGTAACTCAGAAAACTTGAATGCATCACGCGTGTTGCCACCACAGACAATCACTTCGACATCTACGTTTTCTGGGTTTTCTACATTGAGATTGATCGGGAGTAGTGCTGACATTCCTGAAGCCGGGTAGTTACGGGAACCACCAACCAAGTCAGGGAGGTTGCGAATGGTTTCTCCGGTGTAAGGGTTGAGGATGATAGATTTGTAGTTTGCAAATACAAAAATGTTCCCATCTGGGAGTAGATTAACAAATGGGTAGAGATTATTCTCTTTCTCATCCTGTGTTTCTTCAAGGAAGGGTAGGCCAAATTGTTGAATTGGAAAATTCAGTTTATCTGATGGAATTATTTCGTAGTTGTGTGCGGCACGACCACCGACCACAACAAAGCTACCGTTTTCCAGCAGAATTTGTGTGGCATACCTACAAGACAAGTCCACAAAATTTCTTAATTACATGTTTGATATGTAATATTGAATAAAATCATACAATATAATAAATAAGATTTTAACTTATTTTCGTTTACCATCTATTGGCTGAAAGTGCTCCCGGCTTTTCTTGAAACTCGAAGTCTCTGAATGGATTGAAAATTCTGAGGGTTCGAAATCCTTCTTGATTACCACCTGTGCTGACTAGGGCTCCATCTGGTGACATTCCACCTGACGAGCACCATGGATCATATTCCATCTGAAAAATTAAATCATTGGAACGTTAGGATTAATTTACAGATAAGTCTCTTGGATATATATCTTTATCCACCAATGAATTAATGTGCCAACTCATCGGTGTTTAGGATAAGATGAGCACCGGTGCTCATTAGATAATTTCTGTATATATATATATATATATCAAGAAA